AGGGTCACCATGCTTGGCCGAATCCAGAAACACATGTATGGATCATTCAATTGGGCTCGCGCGCGTCATTTCAACCGCGATAGCAGCACGTTGAGATCGCCACAGCAAAATAGCGTGGCAGAGATAGAGCATCCTACGTCGGTGCGCTTCGGGGTAGAAATAGCGGCAGAGAAGGAACCTGAGGCGGAACGCATATACTTCTGCGACACAAGTGAAGACCATGAAGACATAGATTCCCAGAATCAGGCCAGTTTTCCCAGAGTCGTGTCCCGAGACGAGACAGACAGCCGTGTCCACATTGCTCGAGACCCGACTCGAACTCACAAGGTATCCCAGGAATGATCTCATGAACTTGGCTACGATACCGATCCCTACGACTTGAACGCTCAGATTTTGCTCCGTGTTATACACGCCAGACAGTCGACTCTCTTCTTTCATTACTTTCAAGACGTTCGCCATCAAATGGTTGACGCTGAGCGCACATATGCCGAGGACCACAGTCAGCCAAACCTTCGAGAAAACAAGACGCTCAATGCCATGCCACTCATTATCCAGCGGTTTCGGTGTCCAGAAGGTTGCGACACGTTTCAAGTCCTTCTCATCCAGCCTGAGACCCGATTGCTCGCTGAATTTTCCAAAATCTCCGTAAACGTAGCAGTTGTGGAAGCTGGGATAATGTTGGTATTTATGAAGGAAGCCATAAATGACGACGAAACAACAGGGCGTTATCAGCAAGAGAGCTATTTCTAAGATGTTACCGAGAAGAGCAGTACGTGCCCTATATGTTCTGAGGTAGTTCGAAGCTTCATTGTAAGCGTCATCCAGAGTGGATCTCTCGGTGTTCACTCCAGCGATATCGAAAGAATTGTTCCGCGCGAACCACTCGGGAAATTTTAATTATCACACGCATGGAATTGATCAGTGACTTTCTCAGTCCCGCAGAAGTCTTCAGTCAACATGACGATGATTGGCCGACAAACCTCTCGGCAAGTCTCTCTAACCACACCCGGGCCCCAATCACAGAGCGGCCAAGAGTCGTGAACTTTTTCTACGCAACGGAGATGGGCCAGGAACAGCAGTATCTCGCAGCGGACCCGGAGATCGCCTTCAGCACCGCCTGTGAAAGATAATTTCGCTCTTTTGCTGTACGCTTCGGTTCGAGCGGATGATTCCGTCCGCGATTCGGGAAAAGATATCGGTTCGATAGGCAGCTTGGACGTGAACCTCACCCAAGTCTTTGGTTGTGCGCAGCTTGTTCACCCAGTTCTGGTATTCGCGGTAGGTGATGCGAAGATAGTCCAGCTGGGTTACGCTTATATTCAAACTCAGAAAATTAAACCCGAGGTCTTGGGTCAAAGGCTCAGAGCTGGTCACGTCAAAGACCCACGACATGTCCGACTCGGTGTAATTGAACACATCATGCCGGTCTTTACTCATTATATCCGAGAAAACTTTGAATGCCGGATCGAAGCACAGTTTGTAGGAGTCTGCAGAAAAAGGGGATGGGGTTCTGCTCGAGGAACTTGAGGTCATCGGTTTCCTCAGTTTTGAGCGCGGACCTCGTTCGAGAGACTCACCGATAGTGTATTTCAGGAAAAGCTTTATGAAACATATGCACGTTCGCAGGAAGATATCCAAGTTCAAGAGGAAATCGGTTATTGGACCAGTCAACACTTGCTCCAGAGCGTACACCGCTAATATGACGCGCCCCGATTTGGTGACTATGGAGGGCACCATAAGATACATGGAGCAGCAAACTCGTGTACTCAGAAAACTCAATATAGAAACTCCGGTCGCAAAAATCAAAATCTGTTTGCGGCTGAATCTTCCAAGTGACATGACAAGAGCCGTGAGACCGGAGAGGACCATCGATAGGAAGCATTTCGTCAGGATTCTACCCATGGCTCTATGTCGTTGTCAGCCTTGAACAGATAGCTGTGCGATGCTTCTTCGCGCCTCGGACATCAACGCGCAGACTCGGTCTGACCGCGCAGTGTTCGGAGTGACTGATAATCGGATCCTGTTCTTTAAAAGTACTCTCGCCGTAGCGGATTCTTCCCAAGTCGCGTAAGCGGTCGGAGGCTCTGAAGTTGCAGTGAATTCGCTCTCTCTCTAACTCTCTTATTCCAAGTTTTGCCCATCGATGTACTTCAGAGCACGGCTCGGATATTCCGTCGTCAGTACACAATTCTGCATTCCATCATGTCTGCATGCTTCGTCTACTTCTGCTTACATCTGCCTTCAGTGGACCTATCAATGCGCCATCGCTTGCTCCTGAGATTCTCGGAGGTTCTGTCTCGAGCACCGTCTCGGTCCTCGTTTGTAGTTTTGTAGCACATAGCTCCAAGGCAAGCTGTAGTGCTTCAAAGAGTCCTGTCGCATTTGCGTTCTTCACCCGTTGAATGAGTTCCACATTGCGGTTGCCCATGCTGGGAATAAGTTTAGAGCAGTTGACTATTATGCCGAGGAAAGTCTTTCCCTTCCATGTCCATTCGTCGGCCACGATGGAGAAGGGGATCTTCCCCTTCAGACTAGAAGTTTCGTCATTCAATATCCTCATTATCCTGAGGTTTTCTCTCTGCACGCATTCGGCCGCGATATTCCCGTTGACAAAACCCAAACCAGCCTTCTGGAAAATAG